GCTCCAGGGATCAGTGTCCTTTGTGGCCTCTGCACACATATGACATACACTCACACAGATATGCACACTTAATCTTTAAAAAGTCAAAATAGAACTTAGTGTGGTGGCCACCCCTTTAGTCCCAGCACTTAGAGGCAGTGACAGGTGGATCTCTGTGAGTTGGAGGCCAGCCTGATCTACTTAGTTAATTCCATACCAGCCAGGGCAGCACAAAAGTCTTGTCTCAAAAGAAAATAAGGGGCTAGACAGATGTCTCAGTGGTCAAGAGCACAGGCTGCTCTTGCAGAGGCTCCAGATTCAGCGCGTGCACCATGTGATGGGTCGTGACCATCTGTAGTTCCCGTTCCAGGAGACCTATGCCTTCTGGCCTCTACAGGTCACAGGCATGCGTCCATGGTGTGCACAAGCATACATGCCGGTCTCATACTCATATGCATAAAATAAGTCTTAAGTCTTAAAAAAAATTGAGAAAGGGTTTCTCTGGGTAGCCTCAGCTGTCCTGGACCTCATTCTATAGACCAGGCTGGCCTCGAACTTAGAGATCTGCCATTCTCTGCCTGCTGAATGCTGGGATTAAAGGCGTGTGCCACAATTGCTCTGCTACAGATTTGTGTAATTTTTTTTTCCTTTGGTTTTTTTGAGAACTTCTCTGTAGCTTTGGAGCCTGTTCTGGAACTCACTCTGTAGACCAGGTTGGGCTTGAACTCACAGCATCCTGTGCAGTGTGTGTGTGTGTGTGTGTGTGTGTGTGTGTGTGTTTGACAATGGGAAAAATGGGAAAGAGGAGGAAAGAGAAAGGTAGGAAGGAATGGTAAGATAAATGAAACACATGGGTAGAATATGGTGAGGTGGCTCTCTGTTAAAACTTCCCCACCTGTCACCACAGCCCTCGGGAGAAGCTGGAAACAAAGGGCTCAGCACTTGTTATAAGCCAGCCAGAGCTCCAGAATGAAACAAGATTCCAAACAAACAACAGTGATGGAATGAATATTAAAGATAGAGGCGTCTCTTCCATTCTGAGAAAGGAAAGCTAAGTTCCACAGGGCGCGTGGAAAGAGGCTCTCAGGTCGTACAGTGGGCGCACAGATACGGCAGCCTGTGTGCTGTGATAAATCCCAGAGATCAGTACTTCCTCAGGACCGCACTGTGTCTCGCTGAGTGGACCTACTTTAAGGTTTAGAGTTTCGTTTGGTAGTTTGTTTTTTGTTTTGTTTTGTTTTTCAAGGCAGAATTTCTCTGTGTAACAGCCCTGGCAGTCCTGGAACTCTCTTTGTAGACCACGCTGCCCTCGAACACAGAGATCCGCCTGCCTCTGCTGCCCAAGTGCTGTGGGATTAAAGGTGTGCACCACCACTGCCCAGCAAAACTTTATTCTTTAATAGGACATTTACAGCATTAGAACATCTTTCTTGCAACTTTCTCTTTTTTATAACTTGAGTCTGTGGTTCTTGATTGTAAATTTTATAGATGGCAGTGTCTGTTGTAAGGTTGAAAGGTTAGACACGCCTGAATGTTACTGTAACCCTTGATCATCTAGCTAAAAAAAATTATCACATTTTTTGACCTTTGAGAACCTAACCACTGAAACATTATCTCAGAATAGTTCATATGCCATTTATTCATATGTATTAATTAGGGTTCTCTAGAGGACAGAAGGGATTGTGCGTATGTGTGTGTGTGTGTGTGCGTGCGTTATATGTGTGTCTTTTAGAGTGGCTTAGAGTTTGTGATCCTCCTAGCCTAACAGAAAATTCAAGAATCCGGCAGTTGTTTAGTCCATGAGTCTGGAGGTCTCAGCTGGTCTTGAGAACACACCAGAATCCTGAGGAAGTAGGCTCTAATGCCACTGAAGGGATGGACTTGCCAGCGAGAGTGAGGGCCAGCAGGCAAAGTCAAAGCCTCCGTTTTTGTGTCCCTTAATGTAGGCTGCCAGAAGCAGGTGTGGGCCAGAGTTAAGGCGCCTCCTTCCACTTCAGATGGCCAACAAAAATCCCCCATGGTCTGTCCAGCAGCTTAGATTTGTTAATTCCAGATGTAGTCAAGCTGACAACCAAGAATAGCCATCACATTTATGATTTTTAAATCTTGGGGCTGGAGAGAGGGCTCAGCAGCTGGAGCACTTGCTGCTCTTGCAGAGCTCCTGGGCTCAGTTCCCAGCACCCACGTCAGAGGGCTTGTCACCGCAGGACCCGAGCCTCTCCTGGCCTCCTTGAGCGCCTGCACACACATGGCATTCTCAGATACACGGAAAGACACACACAATAAAAATAAGATACAATTCTGAACAATAAGGATGTGCTTTTGAGCCAGGGAGGTGGTTGACAGGGTGAGGCTCTTTCTGCACAACGTGGATCCCCAGAACCCATGTGACCAGATGTGGTGCCCTGTTCCTGTGACCCCCATGGCGAGATTGAGGTAGTCCCCTCAATGTTCCTGCTTGCCTGGCACACCAGCAAGGAATAAGAGACCCTGTCTCAAAGCAAGGTGGGAAGTGAGGATAGACATGCTAGGTTGGGTTCTGACTGTCACTCATACGCCTACACAAACCTCACACTTCAAGTCATTTAAAATGATATTCCCTTCTGTGCAAATCACGAATTTTCTACTGGATTATTTTTGTGTTTTGTGTGTGTGCCAGTCTTGCTTTGTAGCCTAGACTGGTCAGCTAACGGCATCTTAGGCCTTATCTCTGCCTCCCGTGGGCTGGGATTGCAAGGCTGTAACTACCACTCTCGGTTTTTTGGTTTGTTTGGTTTGGGGAAATGGTTGAGTGGTTGGTTTGAGACAAAATCCCCTGTGTGTGTTTTAAATTTTATTTTTACTAACTTCAAGAATTTGGTACATGTATATGTGATAGATAGCATTTGCCTCGTACTTCTGCCCCTAACTCTTCCCAGAGCCACTCCCAACCCCTCCCAAATTTATGACTTCCTTTAATTAAAAAAAAATGCCTCAAGTGCAGTTTGTTCTGCTCAGGTGTTTGTGGGTGTGAAGAGAGCTGCTGGGGCACTGGGACCATTCAGGGCCCACACATCTTGAGAAAACTGACTCTCCCTCCCTGTCACGTGCTTCCTGAAAAAAAATTTCTTTTAATTTACTGGCTTATAGAATTCTTTCCTAATGTTTTAGGAGGATTGGCCCCTAGTCTGTGCTTGTGATGTGAGGGGAACCAGTTATGCAAGTGCTTTGTCGCTGTGATTTGCTTTTGCTTCTTTTGTTTTTTGTTTGTTTTTTGTTTTGTTTTGTTTTGTTTTTTGAGACAGTGTCTCTGTGTAGCCCTGGCTGTCCTGGAACTCACTCTGTAGACCAGGCTGGCCTGAGACTCTCCGCCTGCCTCTACCTCCCAAGAGCTGGGATTACGGGTGCGCGCCACCGCTACTTAGCTCTTATGTTTTTTAAAGGGTATCAGGGGAAAGGTTTGCTGAGTGAAAGGGCTGGGCAAAGTGCCTAAATGAACTTCACTGATGCAAGTTCCAGGACTTAGGGGCCGGCCAGATGGCTCAGCTGTAAAGGTGCTTGCTGCCAAGTCTACTGAGTTCTGTCCCCAGACTGACATAGTGGAAGGAGAGACCCAACCCCTACAAATTGCCCTCTGACCTGCACACGCATGCTTTGACACACATGGCCCCATACATACATATGTACAAGCATACATGCATACATCAAGTGATTTCTTAAATAACATTAAGTAATCCTTTTATAGCTTTTCCTCCCTTCTTCTACCGTTTATGATCCTTTCCTTTCTCTTATGGTGGGTACCCTAACCATATCCGTGCTACACCATGTCAGACCTACACTACTACATGTACATTGCTACATGCTTCTCTTCAGATCATGTGAACCCAGTGTCTCAAGCAAAAGCCTGCAGCACCACCCCATCTGTGGGAGCTGAGGGTAAAGATAGGCTCTTCTGTTCTCCCGCCTCGACCTCCCAAGTGCACCAGCATGTCTATATGGTTTTTCTTTAGATTGCTCCAAAGTTCATTTCTTTCTTATTCTAGGAAAAGAGGAGGAATTTAAACCATGGGCTATGGGAGATTGCTGCAGGAATTGACCCTGGTCTGTCTGTCTGTCTGTCTTGCAGGTGGAAAGTGTCTCTGCTGGGCACTCCTCATTGTACAAGGACAGTGGCGCACTCATGGCTTTCAGAGGAGTTCCGGTATATATCACCCGCTCTTGCGTGCCTCTGTTGCCAACCTAGGCTTCTGTGTACTGGGGACACAGGAGGGCAAGCACAAACCTGACACACAGTGTCTGTCTGATAAGATCATAGTATTCGGAGGATGAGCATCGAATGCACTAGGGATGCCAAAGCACACCGCTGTCCCAAGGGGCTGTGTGCCTCTGTGTTTATAGCATTCAACAGGACATGCGTTTGTCCCACACATTAACAAACTGCTACCACACAGTCAACGTATCCAGGAACTCCACTTTAAGAATATCTTTCAGCTGGAGGAGGTGGTGCAGGCCTGTAAGCCCGAGCATATCAGAGTCTGAGACAGGAAGACAAGAGTTCAAGGCCTGCCTGTGCAATATAGCTATACTCTGTCTTCAACAAAAACAAGATTGAATTTAGAACTGGGGTGTAGCTCAGTGTAGAATGAGTGTTTAGTGTGCACTTGGCTTTGAGCTCACGTGAGTGTTCACACGCACAGGCAGTTAGGACTGTGGTAATCCACAGTAAAGTTGTTGTCGTGCCCACATGCAGACCTGGGTTTGATCCCTGGAACACACATAAAGGCTAGGCATGGGGGCTGTGCTTGCAATCCTAGTGCTGTGGGGGCAGAGGCAGGAAGATCTTGGGGCTCAATGGGCAGCTAGTCTAGCCAAAGCAGGGAGCCTCAGGGACCAGTGAGAGACCCTCTTGCAAAAAGCAAAGTGGAGGTCTCCTGAGAAACAAAACCCAAGTTTACCTCTGGCCTACGTGAGTGCACACACACACACACACACACTCACACACACACACTTACTTTTAATCAGTCCATCTGAGCAGACTATATTCTTCCTGCCTCTCATTTCCAGAATATTTCATATACAGTGGGTGGGAAGAGCTGTGTGGGGGGAGACAGGAAGTCTACCCTCACTCTAAAGGTCGCCTGCCCCTACAGATCTCAGAGCTGAAGAACCATGGCATTCTCCAGGCCCTGACCACAGAAACCAATGGATGGCAGCCAGGTGGTAAGGACTCCAAGGACCCCTAGGGTTTGGGTGGGACCCAGGTCAGAGCCACCAAGGATCTGCTTTACCTCGTCTGAATCCTCCTTGCTCCTGCCCTCTCAGAGTTTTGTATGTATCATTCCCCAACAAAAGTTAGAAACAGTGTTGGGTTAGGAGCCAGTTGATCTGTTGGCGGTTTGCTATGTGCTTCCGGGCAAGCCGTGTATATCAGTTTACAGTGAAAAATTTAAATTACATTTTCTGAGTGCGGGCCAGAGGATGACTTGCTGGAATCAGTCCTCTTCTCCCACTGTTCAGATCCAAGGATGAAATCAGGTTACCAATCTTAGAGACGTGAGCCATCTCACCAACACAGCAGTGAGAATGTAAACACCTCTCATTCTCAAGGACAGTCTGAAAATGAGACAGTACAGAGCCAGGCATAGTGGTCCTCGCCTTTAATGCCAGCATTCAGGAGGCAGCGGCAGGCTGATCTCTGTGAGTTCAAGGCCAGCCTGGTCTACAAAGTGAGTTCCAGGACAGCCAGGACTATTAAACAGAGAAACCCTTCCCCTACCACCAAAAAAAAAAAAAATAGTGCTCTTGGCTAATTTCCATTTATAGGATAACGAAATCAGTGCTGTTTAGCTGATGGATAAACAGGAGAGGCAAAATTAAGGGGTCAATTAAATAGCAAAAGAAAGGAAAAGAAAAATGTGAACTGCATGAGTTATCCTAGAGATATTTGCTTCACACACACACACACACACACACACACACACACACACACACTCACTCCTGTGGGTCCCTGTGTCATGTCAGGATCATCTTCTGGCTTCAAGAGGACAGGAACAGTGCATACATGGTTTGTCCATCTCTCTCCCGATTTTAGGCACCAACTTGATAAGGCTAGCTGAAACCTTGAACTTTGTGTTGCATAACTGTTGCAATGGCAGATTCCCTCACCCTCTGGCCAGGGTTTTTCTTCTGGCTCACAGATGTGGTCAGATCACTTGTAGGTGAGAGGTCATTGGGTGAGAGATGGGTCTATCTCTGATCAAGGAGCTCGGAGACCAGGGTTGAAGGTAGGAAGGCTGTGTCCAGCCCACCACTTTCCCTGTGTTCCACACTCCTTATTCCTTTTGTTTTCTGTTCTTTTGAGACAAGGTCTTGTGTAGGCCCATCTTTCCTTGAGCTCATTCTATAGATCAAGCTGGCCTTGAACTTGTTGTGATCCTCCTGCCTCTGTCTCCCTGTTGCTGGAGTGCACCACCTTGCTCTCTCGCTTTTAAAGACTTATGTTTATGCATATATGCATGTGTGTGTGTCTGTGTGTGTATGAGTGTTGCTGGGTGCCCGTGGAGGCCAGAATAGAGTATTGGATGCCTTGAAGCTAGCGTTACTGTCATCTATGCGCTCCCAGGACAGGTGCTAGCAGCCAAACTGCGATCCTTTGGAAGAGCAGCAAGTGGTTTTAACTGCTAAGCCATCCCTCTCCAGTCTTTCCTCTCTGGAGTCGGAGCTGAAGACCAAACCCATGGCCTTGCACTTGCTAGGCAGATGCTCTGAGCCAAATCCCCAAGCCCTCATTCATGTCTTTTTGTTCATTCAGTTTGTCCCTCATTTTTATCTCCCATAGTCTTGCATGCTCAAGATTGAACTCCATTTTCTCTGTGCATACAAGACCAAGTCTGTCTGCATTATATAACTAAGTCGTTCTGAGTCTGTGTCTGCTACCCCAAGGCTAGAAGTAGCCAGATGGAATGTCCTCGCTGTCCATTCCTTAGGACCGTGAATGTCCCCATCCCACTCTGACTTGCTGGCCTAAGGCCATGGCTGTGTCAATAACAACCCTAGACTGCATCCCCTATAAGAAGATGGAGAATTGCTCATGCTTACGACGGTCCCATGAGAACTCACAGATGCTTACATAATTCGGCTAAAAAAAAAATACAGCTAGTAAACAGCAGCAGTGAGTGATCTCTGCTTCCCACCATTTTCTCCTCAGTTGTCATTAGCTTTCGTGGTATTTTATTTAATCCACACGTCTGTTCTGTCAATCCGTTTTTCATTAGTATAACAAAGCGCCAGAGGCTGGGTAATGTTCTGTGGAATGGGGTTTTAAGAGGTCATGATGGTACATGCCTGTATCTCCAGCACTTGGGAACTTGAGGGAGGTAGAAATGTTAGAAGTTTGAGGTTATTCTTGGCTAGATTGTGAGTTCAAGATCACCCAGGACTACATGAGACCCTACCCAAGGTCCAAGGTTCAGTGAAGTTCAGAAAGGGCTGCATCTGGTGTCCTACCTGCTGTTGGAGTTCCAAATTGGTGCAGGGTATCACATGACCAAAGTCATGTGACAGTGTCTCCTCTAGTTCCTGTCCTTCCTGTTTTGTTTTGAGACAGAGTCTAAGTAGACCAGGTTGGCCTTGAACTTACAGAGATCTGTCAGCTTCTTCTTCTTCCTCCCAAGTGCTGCGATTAAAGATGTGTGACATCATGCCTGGCAATTTTTAAATTATATGAATTGTAATTTTCATAAAATTCAAAATGAAGTCTTTTGGAGAGGACAAAAGATATACCCAAGTACCAGATCCTGTTTGTACAAGATCACTGAAAGTCATGAATACTCATGATTTAAAAAAGGTTGATTCGATGGCAGACTGAGCAATGACCTGTCTAGTATTCTTTTCAACCTTTTTGTTATTAAAAGTTTTTTCTCATTACTATTACTACTTTTAAGACATGGTCTTACCACAGCCCAGGCTAGCCCTAGACTCACAGCAGTCTTCCTGAGTGCTGGGTTTGCAGACATGAACCACCATGCCTGGCTTCAGGTTGGTATTCTCTAAGCCCAGCATTTTGTGTTTTGTGATTCTGGTTGGCACAGTGTCTGCTCTCTAATATGTGAGCTTAGTCAGTCATTCGTGGGAGTTCCATTTGAAAGTGATATATATATTTACAAAGATGACACGAACATAAACTCAGCAGTCGATACACATGTGTGTTTCATTCCTGTTTATCAGTTTAAGATGTTCTAGTACTCCAGAGCTGAATAAGAGCTTCAGGGCTGACAAGATAAAGGGCTCGCTATGTAAACCAGATGGCTAGAGATGGATCCTCAGAACCCACGTCGTCAAGGGAGAAGGAGACAACCGACTTCTAGAAGTTGTCTTTTGACCTACACGTGCGCTGTTGTACATGTGTGCTCACACAAACACTGACATACATCTGATAATAATAAGTTAATGAAGTTTTTTTTAATGACTCTTAAGCATTGCAGTCACCTAATTCACACCAGAATGGCCACGTTTTACCCAAAGTCAGACTTTTCTGTGAAAGTAGAAACAAGTTCCATTATAGCCGTTTCTGTTTTGGCGCTCCAAATGTGCTTGTGCTGTAATTATGTGACTTCTGTGGTCTTAAACTTTGGTTTATGGTGTGGGAGAACGGTCTGTATACTGTCAATTATATTTTAAATAAATGCTGATTGGCCAGTAGCCAGGCAGGAAGTATAGGCAGGACAACCTGACAGGAAGTAGAGGTGGGTCAATGAGAACAGGAGCATTCTGGGAAGGAGGAAGCCCATTCCCCCACAGTTGTGAGCCTGCCACGGAAGAAGCAAGATGTGACTGCCTTGCTGAAAAAGGTACCAAGCCATGTGGCTAACATATACTAGAATAATGAATGGGCTAATACATGTTATAAGAGTTAATAAGGGTCTGATAAAGGAGCAGGAGTCCCTCTCTTGGAGCAAACAGAGAGAAGTTTCTGTTCAGCAACGGGTAGCAGAATTGGAAAAAATTAATGCAAAATTTTTACGTGTACAGCAGCAGCTTGAGCAAGAATTTAATCAAAAGAGAGCAAAATTTAAGGAGCTGTATTTGGCTAAAGAGGAAGATCTGAAGAATCAGACTGCAGTATTGCAAGCTGCACAGGATGATCTGGGTCACCTTCGGACACAGCCGTGGGGGCTCAGGCAGAGATGGAGAATATCAAGGCAATCGCCACAGCCCACAAAACAAGAAGCTATCGATGAAGGTTAAAGGCAATGGAGAGAAGAGGTTGCCTCACTTGAGGCTGTAATGAAAGAGACAGTTCGTGACTATGAGCCTCAGTTTCTTCCGAGGCTGGAGGAGGAGCGAGCACAGTGGGCACAGTATCGAGAAAACGCAGAGCGGGAAATCGCTGATTTGAGAAGAAGGTTGTCTGAAGGTCATGAGGAAGAAAATTTAGAAAATGAAATGAAAAGGGCCCGGAAGATGCCGAGAAGCTCCGCTCTGTCGTGATGCCCATGGAGAAGGAAATTGCAGCTCTACAGATAAACTGACAGAAGCTGAAGAGAAGATTAAAGAGCTGGAGGCCAAAGGTTAAGGAACTGAACCATTATCTGGAGGCTGAGAAGCTGTAGGACCGAGCTGTTTTGAACACTCAGAAATCTGTTCTACAGGAAGATGCTGAGAAGTTGAGGAAAGAATTGCATGAAGTTTGCTGTCTCTTGGAACAAGAACGATAGCAGCACAGCCAGTTAAAACGTACATGGCAGAAGGCCAACGGCCAGTCTCTGGAACCTCAGCGTTTATTGAAAAGAACAACAACAACAGAAACCCAGATTCTGAAGAAGGAAAAGTACCAGTCGTGTGTGCTTTAGCTCAAGAAGAATCTTCAACAGCATTTTCACTTGATGAGGAGCATTTAGACAGCACCCAGGGGTCAGTCCATTCCTTAGATGCAGACTTGCTGTTACCATCTGGAGATCCAGTCAGTAAATCAGACAATGGCATGTTTAAAGATGGACTCCGGAGAGTTCTGTCTATAGACAGCTTGGGAACTTCAAGCTCATTGCAATCAAAAGCATTAGGCTATAACTACAAAGCAAAGTCTGCTGGAAACTGACAAAATGAGTCAGATTTTGGACCACTGGTTAGAGCAGATTATGTGTCTGAGAACTTTGTTACTGTGTCCCTTTGGTCACTGCAGATGCCAAGTGGATTCAAGTTAACCAAAGAGCAATTAAGGC